GATTAAGTGTCTGGTTTCTATTCCCTCATCTAATATGTACCTATGTGACAACAGTATATAAATCAGGAAGACAGTAGGCTGAGGACTGAGTTTCAGATGATCTTCAGCTTAAAAGTGCTAAACTATGGAATTTGCTTTCTCCACATCCTAATATATATACAACTAAAACCACTGATTTAAAAACCATTAAGTAGTGTTGAATTCTCCTTACTCTAGTGTTAGTTTCCGTGAATGCAGTCTTAGCATTATATTCAGAAAAATATTTCGGCCTCAAGGTCCCCAACAATTTGGAGTACTGCACTAGATAACCATCCTAAAGACACTTCTGACAGAAGTAACGCATCACTTAAAGAGAAGTTTCCAAACCTGCTGTTAGAATCTAAGCATACAGGGAAAACACTGGTCTCAGTCATCTGTCCACACGTTTACTCTTCAGGCAGTCCTTTGCCCCTTGGTGGCATTCACTAGGCGAGAGTCCAGCAGGAAAGTGCACGGTGCACCAGATTCACCCCATTTTAAGTTGCTACTGTTTTCTCTTCTTTACTGAAAGGTTGTACTGAGCCAGGCTTTACCCATGACAGGCCAGCGACATGAACACTTTTATTGTGCTGTTCTTCAGGCTTCTTCTAGGCAAAATGAAAAACAGACATTAAAAAAAACCTGTTGATGGAGCATGATTAACTGTCCAAACTAATTGTCCAAAATGCTACTTGTATATAATAAGTAGTGTCTTGTTAAAACACTGTAGAACAGAACCGTCGAGTTGGGCATTTCAGAAATGGTTATCTACTTACCTTCTGAGTCAGCATCTTCTCTCTGGCTTCATCATGTACAGATGGATTCCATGGAGAAAAACTTAAGGAAAGAAAAAAAATATTAAAACTGCTTTTGGCTAACTAAAGCTGTGGTAACCAGAGTTTCTCAATAGCTAAAACATTTTCTCATAACAAATAAAATAGGAACAATATTTTTAAAGAATGATCTGTAAATAATCAATGGTCACCATATATGTTGACATGTTTTAGATATCTCAATTACTGTCTCACACAATAACTAGCTCTTATAGAACATATTACATGAGTTTTCACTTATGCCTTGCAACACACATCTTTTTAACTATTATCCACCTAGAAAATGGAAGCATGTACTACAAAGTACAGTAGCTCTCACTTACCTAATTGCATAAGGGTCTTCAATTTTAGGCTGGTCAAACAAATGAGCCTTACACACCTTAACACTGTCAACCACTTTACTTTTAAAAAGTTGAATATCTTTTTCATACCTGTATTAAAATTTAAATTAAAAAGTTACCAGCATAATCTACACAGCTGCACTTTTAGAATTTTTTAAATGACAAAGGAAAAGTAACGTACAATACTGCAGCCTCTGGATTTAGGGGGCCTGCTGTATCGATCTTGTAGAAAACTCTCCTTGCATACATTAATACTTGCCAAATATGGTTATGGTTCCTCCTAAAAGGAAACAGCGGATTACTGAGGCTTCCTCCAGGTATATCACGTCCTTACAAGAAACACTTCTTCACTGACCTCCATTTTGCAAATGCTCTCTTCACATCCAGTTCTCCAGAGGTGGGATCAACTAGTGGGTGAAAGACTGGAATATCAAACACCAAACGCTATGTTTAAAAAAAAAAAGATCCTTTATTGGAAGAAATGGAGGAAAACAACCAATTTATTTAGACTCACAAAGATAGTCAGAGAAGTTTCTTCAGGAGAACATGGCACACATAGTGTTAGAAGTCAAAGATCTGCTATTTATCCTGAGTCTATTTACCATTGTTCTATGAAACAATTTGAAATGATTAGGAAAAAGCCATTCTCCTCTAGTTCTAGAGCACCCCAGTCTCCACTGACATAGGAAGTGCTGTGTTCCATCTTCCAGTCTCATGTATGTACACTGAGAGCACAGAAGCAAAGGTAAAGACAGAAGACAGACTGACGGAAGATGCAGCCAAAGTCCCTTCAGAGAAGGCAGAGCAGACAAGCACTGCAGGAGACTAAAATCATGAACATCAGAGGAAACCGCTGAGCTCTTTAAGCCAGCAATCTCTTACTTACTGGACAGTCCCCATCTGGGTAGTTATCAGGGATATAAACGGTAAACTTAAATACACCATCTTGATAAAGTCCATGCCGTATGAATATTACTCCAAACCACACTGTGGGTAAAAATAAAAACAGTTAAGGCTTAAGTCTGTATCAGAGGAACCAATAAAATAGGCTGTAAATGAAGAGCCAATCTGTCTTACTTAATGCAGAGCGGTAGGATGGCTGTACATAGACACCTGGTAACTTCTGCTTCACAACCAAGGTACTAAAAGAGAAGCAGCAAAAGAGTTAACTCACACAGCATGGACAGAGCAGATCACCCCGTGGTCATTTCTTGAGACAAGGATCTCTTGAGACAGCTCATGTCCCAGAATTCCCAGAGCCATTCTCGTCACTGGACACACGAATGGAGTGTGACCGCTACTCACCTGCTGGCTTCAGGGCTACACAAAGAATCAAGACTTTTTTCCTAGAAAGCTTAGAGTCCCTAAAACATCATCTTGGAAACTAGACTATAGGTAATTCTGAACACTGCAATTTGATTCTAACAAATCAGAGTATTTGTAAAATTACTATTGCTTGTGTGCCTGTAGATAACAGACCACTTACATTAATGCAATTTTAAGCAATTAAGTAAAAATGCCAAAGCACTGTCTTAACTTAGGTGTCCTTTCCGGTGTGAATGACCGGATCCTATAACAGAGGGCAGTTTTTAGATTTGCAGTGCTTCTTGGTAAAGGCCAGTATCATTGGGAGACTCTCACACAACACTCCCGTTTTTGCAGCCTGCAGCTTTCGCACTCTGGGCCTTGCTGGGGGTAGTAAATACTATCAAGTGCAAAACCCAAGGAAAGATATAGGCACTATCGATAAGAATGCTGCTGTAGCTTTTCTGGAATCTAGTTACCCACTGACAGCAGTTCTCCTGCAGTTAGAAGCCTGAATTAAGGTTGCAACCAGACCTAGAGCAAAACTTGCTTCAATGGGGCTTTAAAACACATCAACCTACCAGTCTTGAATTTCATTAAGAAACATAATTGGTCTATTGCTAATGCTTTGTCCTACCTATCTGCAATGGTACTTGCTTTTAAAAGTAGGTAATTCCACTTTTAAATCACTAAAATTCAGCATGTTAAACACAGCAATGGCTGGCAGATTATCTATGAATATAATGTGCCAGAAAATGCAATTCTGTGGTCTAATACAGAAAGCAGATTTAATCACCACAATAGATGTCTGTCCCAACGCCCTGCCCAGTCTCAAACACAACACATCAATTATAAAGCTGAAGAAACCACTGATAACAAATCGCTCCCGGTCAAATGTACCGGGACCTCCAACTCTCTGCCAATCCAGCTTTCGCACATTGAGAAGGATCAGTGAAGGATCACTTTAAATAATTTTAGCTCCAAAAAAAATTTAAAATAAGGGATCTTGAAAATTCTCCAAATTTTCTGTCCTTTTAAGAAATGATCATGTCAAGTAACATCTAAATACACTTGCTTTTGAGCTCCTGTAATATGCCAGGTGCTATGACATCATCATTAAGCACTCAAAGTGTCAACTTCTTTGTACTCTATAATAATTTCTGCAATGTTAGTCAAATTTTGGATTCCGGCAGCTAGTTCTTATAGATTCAAATTCCAAACTTATTTGCAACTGCATAATGCACAAATCTTTGTTTTAGGATCATATAGAATAATTCAAATCTTCTTTCTAACGGGAAGTGCTGGTATCCAAGGAAACTGGAATTGCACTGCCTGCCAAAGGCAGGTGGTTCAAAGCTACCAGCTGCTCCAAAGCATAAAAAAGATGAGCAGTCTCCTCCCATGTGCTTTACAGCCTCTGAAAATCTGCTAAAGGGTCAGCTATGAATCAGTTCCAACTCAGTGGCACATAAAAATGATGCCAGCCCGTCAAATAAATGAAGATCATTTTAACAAATGCTTGTGCTTGCTAAATTTTCTTTTCTCCTCCTCAGTATCTCTAGTTCCTTCAACTGCTGGCCACTAAGGTCTGGCTAATGAGAGACCTTAGGACAGCACCTAAGAACACAACAAGGTCTGGCTTCCTCACCTCTCCCTATAGGGATCATCTCCTTAGTGGTGTTTAGTCTCCCCGGATGCTTCCTCCAGGGTATAAACCTGACCCTAGAAAGAATAGACTGTCACTCCTCTATTGGCCTGCCCTCTACAAAAACCTCTTCAGGAGATGAATTCCACAAACTTAAGCTCTTAACTTGTTGGTCTACTGTAGGTATTTAATAAATCTTAGCTTCTTCATCCTGTTCTCTAAAACAGACCTGGAAATTAACGGACACATCTGCTTTTAAATCTTATTTACCCAAACACCAAATAGGAACCACTACATGTAAGAGATGATATTTATGTAACTACGTAGGTCTCACTTAAGATAGATTACATCACAAGCAATCACTTCCATAGTTTTAGACAAACAATAAGGCAGATATGGGAGGTGGAGGCTGGGGAGCAGGCAAGGGTTGAGTTTAAAAGGAAATGACTGCCATTTACTCCATCCATCAGAATAAACTGCATTCTTCACTTTCAAGGATTATTCAAAATGTAGAAAGATGATTTGTTGGGAACTTACAATTCTGCCAGAAGAGAATATTCCAGGTAGAAAGGTCCGTAAGAAGCATGCGTGCCATTGGTTGACTGTGCTGCTGGGGCAGGAGACGTGGGCTTAGTTATGGGCAGAGCATTTTTGGGAATAGAAGGCAGCTGTTTCTTTGGAGCTGTGCGTGGAGGACTGGTTTTCACATCCCCTGTTAATGTCTTCTCTTCACCGTCAGATCGCTATTCAAGATGAAAAATATTTGTTAGGATGTTTCTTCAATCACAAGAGGACAATCTTAATCCCTGAAAACTGGGATTACAAAGACAAATGAACAACATGATCAAAAGCAGGCCGACCATACAAAGAGCAGAACAAAGCTAAAGAAAGAGTGAAGTCCTAGGAAAATTCTTTGGGTAGCTGCATCCAGTATGTATAGGATTGACTGAACCAGAGAAAGAATTGGTTTCTCTAGGTGCCCCTCCACTAAGAGGGAAAGGAGTTTACTAAACAATTAGATAATGCACAAGACCTAGAAAGTCCCTTTACATCTTGATACTGTAGAGGCTAGGTGCTAAGAAATTCAGCATAAAGAATATGGACGACTGAAGTTAGTCACTGCTTGATGGTGTTAGCCCCTAGGTTATAAGAAACAAAGAAAGCAAGCCTAGTTTCTTGCTTACTTGGGTCTGATTTTGATCTTGTTCCTAAGAGATGTTTCCACATTGACATATCATCAGCATAAACTGTCATCCTTAGTCAAAGACAAAGATCTAAAGAGTCAGAGACTTAACTACCATCTCAGAGGTACCTCCTGACAAGCTGAGGCTGTTTAATTAACATTATAAAAGATGGTTTAACTTGTGCATGGGGTGGGGGGAAGATGGAGTTGTGCATTATTTTAATTTTCTTTTTTGCTTGTTTGCATAATTTAAGCCTTCCTAAAGTGAAAATGAATTATTTTTACAACAAAAAAAAATTAAAAATTTCATTTTAAAAAATTCAACCAGTGCACTTAAATCTGTTGGCTGTACTGAATCAGCCTTTTCCAAAGAGTCTGTAATCACAGAATATGACTTTCCGTGTAGTAGAAAACCTACAACAATGATGTTGTTGTTGTTATGTGGCGTCGAGTCGTTTCCGACTCATAGCGACAATGATACGTTACAAAATTTCACGTGTGTACCGGTAAACTAACTGAAAATAAGCTTAGCCACGTGACTGTAAGTATGATTTTCTATTTGAGACATAATCTGATTTAGAAAACTTTAGACAAGAAATTAAGTATTTCTAACAAACTTAACCAGAAAAATGAAATAATTTGACAAAAATTATAGACAACTTTCACATGAATTATTGTGGCCTCTTTTCAGGCTTTTTTTTTTTCCTGAGAAGCAAATGGTTTTTCACATTAATCTCTCAACTATACCTACTTTGCGTACAGAGCTTGTAGACATGCTCCAGAAAGGGTTCATAACTTGTACTCCAAACAAAGAAATTCAGTGGTCTGGGTCATCAAACTTTTGTCCTCAGCATTCACTTTACCTGAAAATGAGATGGGGAAAATGTAAAAACATAGCACCCACAACAGTGCTAAAATAGTTAAGACCTAAGTCTTATACTCTAAATAACAGAGATAATAATATAATGGTATGCAATAGTTGTAAACCTAGGGTTAAAAAAAACCTCTTTCAGGTATCTTCAGACGCAGTATCTTCCAACAGACTTTTCTCTTTGGCTCCAAGGAGCCCCTGTCCATGGTTCAGAATATACAACAACAGTTGTTGTTGTTGTTGTTATGTGTCGTCGAGTCGCTTGCGACTCATAGCGACCCCATATACAACAGCCCTAAACCCTGCTCTATCCTGTGCCAGTCTCACTGCCTCTGACACACCCATCCCGATTACCCCAGTCACTGAATCAATCCACCTCATAGAGGGTCTTCCCCTTCTGCGCTGTCTCTCCACCCTCCCAAGCATGATGTCCCTCTCCAAGGACCTCTCCCTCCTTACAACATGTCCAAAGTATGTGAGACGAAGCCTCAGAATCCTTGCCTCCAAGGAGCAGCCTGGTTTAACCCTCTCCAGGTTGAATCTGTTTGTTTTCTTGGCAGTCCAGGGTCCACTGAATACTCTTCTCCAGCACCACAGCTCAAAGGCATCAATTCTCCTTCTATCCTCCTTAGTCATTGTCCATATCTCTGATGCTTAACAAGTGATTGCAAAGACCACAGCCTGTGTCAGATGCACCTTAGTCTCCAGAGTGACACCATTGCTCTTCAGTACCCTGGAGAGGTCCCTAACAGCAGACTTTCCCATTGCAATATGTTTTTTAATTTCCTAGCTACTGATGCCAAGAGTGTTGACTGTGGAGCCAAGCAAACTAAAGTTGTTAACAATCTCTTCACCATCCATCCTGATGCTGCCAGTTGGTCCAGTGGTGAGAATCTTAGTCTTCTTGACACTGAGCTTCAATCCATACTGAAGGCTGCAGTCCTTGACCCTCTGCAGCAAGCATTTCTGGTCCTCCTCAGTTTCAGCAAGCAGGGCTGTGTCATCTGCATAATGCAGATTGTTAATAGATCTTCCACCAATCCTGATGCCACACTTCTCCTCATAGAGCCCAGCCTCTCAGATAATCTGTTCTGCATACAGGCTGAAAATGTATGGAGATAGGACACATCCCTGGCGTACGCCTTTCCCAATTTTGAACCATGCAGTGTTTCCTTGCTCTGTTCTGACGACTGCCTCTTGGTCCAAGTATAGGTTTCATATTAGAACGATCAAGTGTTCTGGGATTCCCATTCTTCTCAGAGGCAGCCACAGTTTGTTATGATCCACGCAAACGCCTTTGCATAATCAATGAAACACAGATAGACATTCTTCAGGTATTCCCTGCTTTCAGCTAAGATCCATCTAACATCAGCTATAATATCCCTAGTACCACGACCCTTTCTAAACCCAGCCTGGACTTCTGGCAGTTCTCTGCTGATGTGCTGTTCCAGTCATTTTTAGATAATCTTCAGTAGAATCTTGCTTGCATGTAAAATCAATGATATCGTTCTAAAGTTTCCACACTCTTTTGGGTCACCCTTCTTTGGAATGGGAACAAATATAGATCTCTATATCAACAACAGTTAGGTGCTAAAAATTCAGAAGGTAGGGACTCCAGCAGTCACAACTAGTATAATATCTAGGCATTAACTTTCAGAAAAGATAGGCTCAGAATGCACTGTACCTATATACACAAAAGTTACTTCACTGCTCTCGGGGTTATGAGATCAAAAGATGGCAATCCATGGTGGTTAATTTGAAAGTGTATCAAATGAGTTCTCTTAAGTAAAGAGTGATTCCCTTGCCAATGAAGCCAATGACCAAAGGAATAAGAACACGGGGAGGGTAGATCATTCTTATCTTGATAGGAAGGCAGTCATGGATAATTGTGTTCTGTCAGCATCATTCCCATGAAACTGCCTTTTCCAGCTAAAAATATGGAAAAGTACAAGATGAGCCTTTTAAGCAGCTGTCAAGCAATATAAAAAAAGATGCAACAGATAGATGCCGAAAAATACATTTTACAAGCACAGATCCATCTGAAGACTCAAACAGCAGGTATGAAAGCATGTCTCAAGGGTAATAAAGTCAGTAGATTGTTTACTAAAAACACAAAGGAAAACAAGCCAAGCTGAGCAGTAAGAACCATTTCTCTGCTCTGGTGATTTCTTCCCAGGCTGTTAATGTTTGACTTACAGCAATGAAAATGCTGTAGGTGAATAGGGTCAGTAGGAATACTTTCCTAAATTCCCAAGCCAATCAGCTGAGAACCCGGTAACAAGTGTTTCTAATTAGCAATATTTTGTTTTTCCCTCTGGCCACCCTGTGACTTACTTCAACAGGTGGATACCCTGTTTCCTATATTCCTCCAGTGCCTATTACTACTGTCTGGCTAAGAGATTAATGCCACCCAGTAATTAAATCAGAGGTATGAGTTCTCATTATCACAAGCTTCTGCCACTGACAGGAGGGTTGACCACATTGTCGGCCTGACCATCTCATAAAGGACCCCAACCTCTTGAGCCCCAGTGCACTCTGTGAATTTGCACTGTAGGTTGTACTTGTTCAGTCCCTTCCAAGCCTAGCACTTAAGATTCTAGGGCTCTGCTTTTTTTATTTATTTATTTTACATTTTAATGAACATCTACAGAGATTTTGGAATTCCATTCATTCATTGTTGCACCCTTCTCCCCG